ATTCAGGTGTCTTGTGTATCCAGGCTAAATTGCTCACATACCATAGCTATTTGAGTATAGCTGTGTTCTTAGCTTTGGTTTGGATGTTTCCTTTTATCTGAATTGGGTTCTCCATTTCTGCCAAATTATGTGAGTGGCCCAGGGCGTCAGTGGCTTGGTCCCTTTTCTGTGTAAAGATTAGGTGCATATCTGTCACCTCCTTGGTCTCTCACCGGGTGGACTGGCATGCACCTCTGCATGGCATAGTTGGCATTTCATTCCCTAAAGTGTCCGTTAGAGGATGCAGCACGAGTTCCCTAGAAGGGGAATATCTCGGGTTATGCATGTAACCATGGTTTCCCAAGAGGGAATGAGACGCTGCGTCCCCTCACCATGCCTTCGGCCTGCCTGTTTATGTCTCCTTCAGACAAGTAAGTTAATGACGTATTCAGCAGGTGCACGTTTATACTTCCAGGCACCCGCCTATGACGTCACAGGCCACGTGGACCAATAGGACTGGCGTTTTTTCACACACATGCTTCCAGACACCGTTCATGCTGGCAGCATTTCTCAAAGTGTCCACTAGAGGACGCAGCGTCTCGTTCCCTCTCGGGGTACCATGGTTACATGCGTAACCCGAGACATTTTCTTCCTTATTTGTCGTGTGATCGCTTGCAGTTCAAATCAAATCAATGTATCTGTAATATACAGTGGGTACGGAAAGTATTCAGACCCCCTTAAATTTTTCACTCTTTGTTATATTGCAGCCATTTGCTAAAATCATTTAAGTTAATTTTTCTCCTCATTAATGTACACACAGCACCCCATATTGACTGCTGCTATGGCACTACCCACTCAGTAAGACTGGATAACACTGGGAAAACGTGCCCGTTCCACTTGGAACCGGAACGTTGCGCAAGCCCATCCTTCCCGAAGGAGGTTTCGGAAGTACTTACATATATGAACAACCGTCTAGGAGCATATGGAAGATTAGAGGTGATTGTAACCAATGTTCCCTCTAAGCTGCGCGCGCGCACAGCCGCACAGAACAAATAATAAACAGTGTCTAATAATATACATGTATTCACATGTACAGGACAGACGCAAAAATGAGTTGGGAAAGCCATTTGATTGAATTCTAGTAAATGCGAAATAATTGCAGTGCTCTGGAAAATTGCTAAAATGTTATTGTCGTTATAGAGTTACAACCGGTGAATGCGGTTTACAGGTTTCATAGAAAGAGAATGATGTGTGGCAAATGAGTCACTGTTGAAATTGAATACTTTAATGGCTCTGGAAAATTGCTAAAATGTTATTGTCGTTATAGAGTTACAACCGGTGAATGCGGTTTACAGGTTTCATAGAAAGAGAATGATGTGTGGCAAATGAGTCACTGTTGAAATTTAATACTTTAATGGTTGGGGACGAAATAGCTCAACACGAGAGCCGACGCAAACGCAATGACATGTGAAATAAAACATCATCATGTTTTAAAGAAGAGTGGCTTGATTAAGTGGTGGAAATAGCAGATGATGGGAACAGAATGGTAACAAAACTCCGAGACATTTACAGTCACACATAGGTGTAGTAGTGTGCAAACTCTACTTCATAGGGATGTTTAGATAACTAAATAAGAATTCACATGTACAAGTTTTTTGAAAATATTTGTTTTTTTATTATATTATATTATATTATATTATATTAAGCCGAATAAATAATTGACCTCAAAAAGGGAATTAATTAACAATAACTGCTTAATTTTTTCATATTATATTGTATCATATTATATTATATTTAAAAAAATTGTTCTGCATGAGATTATTTTAGATAATTTTTAAATAGAATTTCTTAGTAAGTAACATAGTACTGTAAAAAACGTTTTCTCAGGTAACCTAAAATGTGCATCATTTAGTTACATCAAGGATCAAATCAAATATAAATAGCACATTAAAGTTCAAAGTTATTTTTTGTGTGTGCGCTTTAAAGGTATGGTATAAAGAATGTTTTTGCTCAGGGAAAATATCAGAGAAAAGTTTTGCTCAGCTAGAAAAAAAAATTAGAGGGAACATTGGTAGTAACCATGTTTTTTTTTTTGGTGTATTGATTACCATTTGTATAACCACAGTTTTGCAATGATTAAAAATGGTTATTGTAGCAAAACCATGGTTAATTTTTGGTAATAACCATAGTAAAACCTTAGTAACCATGTTTTTTGTTTTATTTGTAGTAAAACCATGGCTAATTTTCATAAGAGAGTTCAATAGTGAACGTAGACATTTTATATTATTTCATGTTTATATTACCAAACTTAAGAACTCGTTGGAATGGTTAGCACTTACTGTATTATTCTCACTGCCTGCGTGGAATATGTGTGCATTTTCAGCTTTATAGCGTGGAAAAAGTACATTTTTCATACCGGCCATTAGAAAGGCTATGGCAATTGATGATACAGTAAGCGTTAATCATTCCAATGCAATCTTTAGTTGAATAATATAAACATAAAATGATATAAAATGTCTACATTCACTACTACTCAGTCTCTACATTTACGTTTAGTCATTTATCAGACGCTTTTATCCAAAGCAACTTACAAATGAGGACAATAATGCAATCAAAACCAACAAAAGGGCAATAACATGTAAGTGCTGTGTCAAGTCTCGGTTAGCCTAACGCAGTACACGTAGCAATGTTTTTTTTTATAATAAATAAAAAGAAAACAAGTAAAAATAATAGAAAAATAATAGAGAATGCTAGTGTTAGAGGGTCATTTTTTTATAATAAATAAAAAGAAAACAAGAAGATAGAATAGAAAAAGAATGTTGAATGATAGTGTTAGAGGCTCTTTTTTTAATAAAGAAAACAAGTAGTAAGAATAGAAAAAGAATAAAGAATGCTAGTGTCAGAGGCTCTCTCTCTCTCTCTTTTAAAGAAGACAAGTAGTAGGAATAGAAATAGAGAAAATAGAAACAGAGAGTGCTAGAGTTAGAGGGTCAAATGAAGATGGAAGATATGTGTTTTTAGCCTTTTCTTGAAGATGGCTAAGGACTGCTCGGATTGAGTTGGGCGGGTCATTCCACCAGGAGGGAACAGTTAATGTAAAAGTCTGTCAAAGTGATTTTGTGCCTCTTTGGGATGGCACTATAATGCACCGTTCACTTGCAGAATGCAAGCTTCTAGAGGGCACATAATTCTGAAGTAGTGAATTTAGGTAAAGCGATACAGAGCCAGTGGTGTTTTTTTAGGCAAACATCAATGCCTTGAATTTTATGTGAGCAGCTACTGGTAACCAGTGCAAATTGATGAACAGAGGTGTGACATGCATCCTTTTCGGCTCATTAAAGACTAATCTTGCAGCCACATTCTGGATTAGTTATAGAGGTTTGATAGAATTGGCTGGAAGACCTGCTAAGAGAGCATTGCAGTAGTCCGAAAGAAAGGGCCTGATCTTCCCAATGTTGTATAAAGCAAATCTGCAGGACCGGGTCTCTATACTGCAGCTCCCATGTCCAATTCTTTGCACTGTGACGTCACGTTTCCATTCTCTGGCCCTGTCCCAAATGGCACACTTGCCGTCTTGTGGACCTACAATGGCAGATTTACAAAGTCCATGAAACCATATTTCAGGGGTGCCCAAACTGGGTCCTGGAGGGCCACTGTCCTGCAGAGTTTAGCTCTAATTTGACTCAACACACCTGCTCTATTTATCATTTTAGCTTTCAGAAGGGTGCTCGCGAGCGCCCCCCTTTTCGGCCGCTATGCGCCCTCGTTGCGCACTTCTGCCGAGTCTGCACTGAGGCGACCTCAACAGCAGACTTCTACCCGACAGTTAAAGTGGCATTATGCCATGAAAGTGTGGACTCAGAGAAAGACTGCAAGCGTTTAGGGTGTGATTTGTGACAGGGCCAAAATAGGAAAAATCTTGAAGGAACCAGTGGCGAATTAGACGGGTTCTGATGTCATACCTGCACCCCTCTATTGTCAAATGAAAACACGCACAGTACAAAGTAACTAATTCATATTTTTATATAAAATTACAGTGAACAATTGTTATTTAAAAAAACAAAGGCAGTATAACAAATATGGTAAATACATACTAAATAATTTAAATATTTTGTATAACAGTAATGAAAATTAGAATTTTTTGCATTGTGTTTTATTTATTTATTTATTTTTATTGGACAATAATTTTGATAAGCCACTTTTTTTGCTTTTTGTATTATAAATTTATTAAATTATTTTTAATGACAAACAGACACATTTTCCCTCTAAATTCTCATTACATTCACAAGTCACAATTTTTACATTTTAGTCATTTCTTATATATTTTTAATATATTTAATTATATATTTATATAGTTTTGTGATTTTTACAACAATTCAACAGTACAACAAATTCGATAAATAAATACTTCACAGTTTAAATATTATTTTTTGTATAGTATTATGTTTGTATATTATATATTATTATTAACAGTTTTAGTAATTTTAGTCTGTGTTTTCTCTCTTTCAATACTACGTCTAGTGTTGACAGATATGTCAGACACGTCAGTCCCAGAGACAGGCACTGATTCTAGTAAGTATTGAGTTTGTTTCTGTTTGACTATTAATAAACACGGAGACACCTTTATGCATTCAGAGAGGTCATTTATATATATTTTTTCTCATTTTTACAACAATTCTCTTTACTGTAACTGAAGTTTTATACAAAAAATATACAGTTGTAATTTCAATCAGCATGAAATAACATTAGATGCTTAAGATGCAACACATTTGATATATAAATAATGGACAATTGAAATAGACTTTGTATAACAGTAATGAAAATTATAATTTTTTGCCTTGTGTTAATGATAATTTGGAGGCAAATGTGTTTAATTGTCATGAAAATAATATTAAACATTTGTTTTTTGATTTTGGTGTGAAATAAGACCTGGACATGCTCTTGACAGGTTTTGTGAGGTTCACCGGCCCTTTAAAAGTCAGTGTTGTCATGTAATCTCTTTCTCTCTCTCTCATTCTCAGGTGTGTTTTCAGATGTGACAAGCAGCACAGAGTCTCTCTCCAGCTCCAGCGCGGTCTCTCATACTCACACAAGCACAAGCGTGCCAGTTTGGACATCTGTTGTGAGTGTTGAGACTGAAGCGAGTGCTCAGACCAAAATCAGCAGCTCTGTGCCAAATCACACATATGCTGGCAGCACTCAGACTCAAACCATCAGCTCTCTGCCAACGCTAACATATGCTGAAAGAGCCGAAGGTACTGTACTGATGCTGATCAGGGCCACAAAGACCACAAACACTCACAGCGACCTCCTTACATGTCCTGATTAGTAGTCAATAAATGTCTTTCAATGTCTGATTATTTTAATGTAAAGTTGTTGCTGTTTAATCTTGGTTGCATATGAATGTCTTTCAACTCTAATTCCAGTGATGACAGATATGTCAGTCCCAGAGACAGGCACAGATTCTGGTAAGTATTGAGTTTGTTTTTGTTTGACTCAGTGGGGCCATTTATAAATGTAGTTTATGAACCAGTGATATTTTAGTGTCATTAAGATACTATTATAGTTTTTATTCATAGTTTGAATCAGTTTTTGTTCTGTTTTCATCTTAATTTTAGTTAAAGTTTTAGAAATTTTGATTTGCTTTTTTAACAGTTTACTTTATTAGTATATATTATGCAGAAATTCTTTGGTTATGCAAACTGATTGTTGCAGCAGCTGTCAGGGTGGCTGGTCTCAGACGATCTTGGAGGTGAAGATGCTGGATGTGGAGGTCCTGGGCTGGTGTGGTTACACGTGGTCTGCGGTTGTGAGGCCGGTTGGATGTACTGCCAAATTCTCTGAAACGCCTTTGGAGATGGCTTATGGTAGAGAAATGAACATTCAATTTACGGGCAACAGCTCTGGTGGACATTCTTGCAGTCAGCATGCCAATTGCACGCTCCTTCAAAACTTGCGACATCTGTGGCATTGTGCTGTGTGATAAAACTGCACATTTTAGAGTGGCCTTTTATTGTGGCCAGTTTAAGGCACACCTGTGCAATAATCATGCTGTCTAATCAGTATCTTGATATGCCACACCTGTGAGGTGGATGGATTATCTCGGCAAAGGAGAAGTGCTCACTAACACAGATTTAGACAGATTTGTGAACAATATTTGAGAGAAATAGGCCTTTTGTGTACATAGAAAAAGTCTTAGATCTTTGAGTTCAGCTCATGAAAAATGGGGGCAAAAACAAAAGTGTTGCGTTTATAATTTTGTTCAGTGTATTTAATAGTTTTAGTAATTTTAGTCTGTATCTCTCTCATTCAACTCTACTTCTAGTGACAATGGATATGTCAGTCCTAGAGACAGACACTGATTCTGGTAAGTATTATGTTTGTTTCTGTTTGACTGTAGATATTAAAGACTGGGACACATTTATGCATCTTAAGGATATATTTATACATTATATGTAGTAAACTCATGCACTATATTCCAAGTCTGATAACATATGATATTATGATACAGACCATTAAAGGGGTCATATGATGTGATTTCAATTTTTCATTTCTTTTTGGAGTGTTACAAACTCTTGGTGCATAAAGAAGATCGGTAAAGTTGCAAAGACTAAAGTCTCAAATCCAAAGAGATATTCTTTATAAAAGTTAAGAGTCAACCACGCCTACCTAAAACGGCCCATTCTAATACGCCCCCACATGTCTACGTCACAATGTGGGAAGATTTGCATAACGCCGCCCAAATGTTCAAGCAAAGAAAGAAGGCGTAACTTTTATCCTCGCTGTAGTATTGT